AGATAGACTGACAGACACCAGCCTAGGCTACAGAGAGGTATTTGTGACCAGAGTGCCAAAGTGACCATGTGAAAGTGGGGTCTTGGCTCTGACAGTGGGGGGCATGGAGGCGGAGGGCAGTAAGTAAGCACAATGTCCTGCGGGGGCTGCTTTCCAGGGCCCCCGGAGCCCTCCTCCGGAGAGCCTCAGGCTCTCTTGCCCAAGAGGAACCCCTCTGGCCTGTAGACCTTTCCTCCAGGTTTTATGTTCTTGTTCCAGTTGGGTTCTGAGCCCATCCAAAAAACTCGCCGTTTTAGGCCTCTTAGCAGGCCCCCAAGCAGCCTCCCTCCTTCCCTCTGCCTCCCGCCGCAGCGGGCAGCGCTCTAGCAGTGACTTCCCTTTCATCCGCAGAACAGTTGGTGGGGACACCTCACCCCACCTCACCCGAGTCACCACCACCAAGAGGATGACTCTGAATTTCAGCCTGAGTGTGCCCTCCCACACTCCTGTGGGGTGAAGCCAAGGGCCTGTCTCTTTTCCTGTTGGTTTTTAAATATTGTTGTGTTTTGTATTTGTGGTGCTGGCTTACAGCGTGCTCTGTACATATTGTAAAGAAATCGTTTGGAGTAATTTTTCCCCATCAGGTGGGCATGGTCTGCATTCCTGCCCTTTCTACTTTGTTCTGTAACACAGAGAAGAGGAAATTCCATATTAGCAGGGCAGCCTTGGGTTCTACAGAAGGGAACAGCTTTTTCTTATTTCTTTTCCCCCTTAAAAAACATTTGGCTCTTGGATCCTGCCCGGAAGAGCAGGTAGAAGCCAATAACAGCAGGACGGCACTGCCTCTCCCTGGTCCCCGACCCTCCTGGTCTCAGAACCCTGTGAGGTCCAGTCTCCCTTCCCTGCAACAGTACGAAGCAGCAGCAGCAGCAGTGGAGGAAACAGATCCTTGATGAGTGCTGAGTGAAGGATCTGCTGTCCCCCTCCAGCCTCACCACATGAGGAGGAGAAACCCAGGTGACAGAACCTGTGGCACCCATGACCTGGTCAGAGGGACGAGACATGCAGCAAGGATTCCCTCTCCACCCCTCCCTGTGAGCAAAAGCTAGAAAAGTTTACTGCTAAGGCCCCAGATCACCAGACCGAGGCTCTTGGAGCCCCGCCACCCCCACCCCACCCGCCCAGGAGTCCAGGCCTCTGCTAGACATCGCTCATCGGGCCCCCGCAGTGCAGCAGCCGGAGGGAGAGCGCCTCTCCCCCAGCCAGATGGCCAAGGCCCGGAGCTGCTGCTCAGGTCAGGGTGCGCGTCCTCCTCTTCCCCACTCGAGGTGTGTTACCGCCCTTCATCCCCTTCCCCATCTGTACATGTATGTGTACATGTATGAAATTTCCTTCTTATCTCACCCTCTCCACACACCTCAAGGTCAAAGGACCACATGCAGAAAGGTTAAGAGGGCACACCCCATGAAATGAAATGGTAATTCTTGAATCTCTTCTCTCCAGGCTCCGAGGTGGGGGTGGGGTGACTTGGCCTCAGTAGTGGGAGGGTAAGACTGCAGAAGGGCTAAGAGTTGTATACAGGCTTTGAGGTCACCCATGTCACTAATTATCCCATATACCCTATCGCCATCCCACTGTCTATTCTGATGCCCCCAAGATTCCACTGGGCAGCTAGCTGGCCCCATAATTCTGGGCCTTTGTTACTTGTTTTATTACTAGGGCATTCCCAGGGCGCTTTCTGACTATCCTCTGCCACGGGCCCCTCCTGGGATTAAGCCCCTCCCAAGCCCTCGTCCCAGCCCCTCCTGCCCCAGCCCACCCGCTTGCCTTGGTGCTCAGCCCCCCATTGGGAGCAGGTTGGGGCGAGCTGGAGGCCCGGGCTGGAGGGGCAGTGTTGCTGTTCATAGCTTTTGTTCCATTGGCGTTGCTTTGTTGGATTTAATTTCAGTCTTCCTGATTCTTCCCTTCTGTAAAGTGTACATTACCAAGTTCCTTGTTTTTTTATATATATATATAAATATATATATATACAAACTGTACTCTTTTTGCCTTTGTACATTCAGGCAAGAAGAGAAAAATAAATCTTTTTAAGAGACAATCACAAATCTGTGAGGGCTGCTGGTTATTTCTCCTGGAGTTTGCTGCTGAGCTGCCACCTCCTTCCTCCCTACCTTTCCATTCTCTCAGCTTCCCTGTCTTCCTGGTCCTGCTCCGTGTGCATCCTCAGCTCCACCTTCCCTGGCTGATGGCAAGCTGTTGAATCCAGTGTCCAGACTGCCTGCCCTGCAGTTCTCTCCTGCCCAGCAGTGCTTTCCAGCTTGGCCACTGGCTTACCCGGGAGCTTTAACCTGTGTCCTGGCCTCTCCTCCTTCCCCTCAGATCCCCTTCACCGAAGTGGCTTTGAACCCCTGGGTACTCCGGGACCTCCCAGAGACCCTGGTTTTGGACACTCACCTGTGAAACTATGCAGCTAGGAGCTTTCTGCCTAAGAGTTTGCACTATTTCAACCTAATTGGGAGTTAGAATAGATGGTTTTTTAGAAAATAAGTGGGAAACTCCCCCCCAGACTCCAGCCTCCAGAGAACCATTCCCGGCGGGGGGACTTCAGACTGTCCCTTTCAGAACAGGCGCTTAGGGTTTACGGGTCAAGAGCACGTGATCAGATTCTCAGAGTGGTACATCCTGAAACAGCCCAACCAAATCTTTGCACCTCTTCAACTTTACCCTTTCCCTCTTGATTTCCCCTCCCGCTCCTTCTGTTTCCTTTTCTTAATTGGCTCTGGAACTGAAGTATTTTTTAAATTATTTGTTGTATTTATTGAATAAAGTTTTTAATGTCCCTGTTCTTAAATTTAGACTTAGTTTGCCTTTCACATCTCCCCTCTCCATCATCCCCCCCAAATATTCTACCTTTGTTTTCATTGGAGTGCAGATTTTGGGTGCCTACCGTGTTTCTTTGCTGTCAGTGGTCTTATCTAGCAAAGGGTTTTTTGGGTTTTTTTTAAGGGAAATCATGCCTAGGTTTCTGATTTGATCTTTCTAACTCCAGCTGTTTTGAAGAAGACCGGCCAGTAAGTGGCAGCAGAATCAGGCGTATTTCTTGTCCACTCTGCTAGTTTTGGGGACAATAAAGGACTGAGTTTTGTCTTGGTTCTTCACCTGTCTTCTAAGTTCCTTGGGTTTGAGTTTTACCATCTGAAATCTAAACTGCCTACGTTAACTTGACCGTTGTCAGCACTCCCGCGGCTGTGCTGTGTCGTGTCGTTTTTCAGTCACTGCCTCTGGGGGTTTTCTGCTCCGTGGAGGACATCTTCAGGCCCTGCTCATTCCAGCTGACTGGCTCTAGGCCCAGCCTCCTCCTCATACCGCGGAGGGGCGAAGGTGCTGAGCTCACTTCTTTTAATGAATACCAGTAGGTTCCAAGGTTAATGACTTACCCCGTGTGAGAGCACAAGTTTCAGAAAGAACAATGTGCAAGTGGGCCAAAGACCCAGAGAAGTAAAGACGGCCACATCTCAACAGTGTAGAGTGCCAAAGCTACAGGAGGTGGAAGTACAGGCCCAGCACTTCACTTAGGAAAACAGAAAAGGAAGTGCTAGTAAGCCCTTGAGAAAGTAAAAGAAGACCACAGGTGACGAGTATCCTAGTCCCCTCCAGTGACACTGAGGCTTCCTCATCAGGGGCAGGCTGGTGGTGTAAGGAGAATGGTAGCCAGGCCTCAGGGCCCTGGGCCCTGAGAGGAGAAAACCATCTTCCTAAGGAAAGTGCTTGCCGCTTCCTTCAAACACCTCCAGGAATGGGAATGTCAGCTCCATGCAAAAGCCAGAACCCGTCAGGACCCAGCCTTCCATACGAAAGACCACGGAAGAACGGCTTAGCTCCGGGGGACACAGCCTTTGTGTGGCTGAAGCTACTGTATGCACGCCTGACGCAGCTTCTGGCAGTGCGCCCCAGACTCCTAGCAACCCCACGTTTGCAGGCAGCATGGCCCCAGAGACCTCAGCCCGCTCGTCTGCCCTGCCGTGCTGTGGCTTTTCTCCTGAGAAGCGAACATCACAGCCCCACTAGGACAGGCTCTAGATTCTACACACGGGAGTGGTGGGAAGCTGGTCCTGGTACAAGAATAAGGAACAGACCAACCACAACTTTAAATCAGTTTATTGACACAGAAACACAACACACTTGCCTCCCTGACACCCCCATCCCCCCTCACCCAGACTAGATCTCTCCCCCTTCCTCCCCCCTTAGAACAGCTGTTCCTTGAAAACAGAAAAGGGCAGGCCACTTCCGCAGCCCCAGTCCCACCTCTAGGCCCTGTGAAGCGAGGGTCTCAGGCACTGTGGAGAACCTGTCAGAGGGCTGGGGCGGAGGTGTGCACTTATTAGCACTGTGCTCAGCCAGGCAGGGGCATCCAGTTCTTAGGAAAATTCCCTCTCAGCCCCCGGGGCCCTGAGTCACTGCTCCTCTTCCTCTCTGCTCTGTGATACTAGGAAGGAGACATGCTGGGGCCTGGGCCTGTCACCAGGACCGAGAACTCCTGGCTGTGAGCTGAGAATTGGAGTTTGGCTAGTGAGTTTCTTAAGGTCCAGGCACCCTAAAAAAAGCCCTGGTGGTGGGAGTGAACTTCAATGCCCCTATTAAAAATGCACCGACAACATTAAACAGATTAAGCCAGCTTAACCAAATGCCAGGATGACAGTAAGCTGTACAGAAGGAGGGGGTCCGACCGGCTTTCTCCAGGCCGGACACAAATGCACACAGAGAAGCCCAGGTGGCGTGTCAAAAAACAACTCAAGGACACTGCTGCACAGGGGCCAAAAAGCCGGTACTCAGGTGCCCCTGGGGTGACAGGAAGCAAGGAGAAGAAATACACAAGTCTTAAAAACCAGAAGGCCCCACAGCTGGGGAGCCTGAGCCTGACAGTGCTGCCCACTGGCCCTCCGGGCCCTGCCCTGGACCCGGACAGGCCCTCCCCTGTGGGCAGCGCCCTCCCTACACATCACACAGCGCAGTTTAAAAGCTTCTAATGCCAGTTCATAAACATCTTCATTTACTATTGGTGATTACGTATGAATAATATGTTTATACTGTTCTTTATGGAAAACAATTTCAACAAGTCAACTCCAAGAACACAACAGGCAACCCTCACCCTGAGCCCCTCGGTGCCCTTCCCTAGACAGCAAGGAGCCCCCACCTCTGCCCCAGGGCTGCCCGGCTTCCCCTCCTTCCCCTCTGTGGCTCTTGGGCAAAGCATCCTCTGACCATTAGTCCTCATCGGACGAGTTCTGGTCCAGGGGGTAAACCATGAACATCACATCTGGCCGAGAGGGGACACAGGGATGGCCTGGACGTACAATCTCAAAGCCCAAGAAGCTGAAGGTCTTCAGGAGTGGAGCTGCAGAAGAGAAGTGTAAAAAGGGTTCTTACAGGAAATGTAAGAGTAGGGTCAAATCAAGGAAAAACCCACAACAAAAATGGAATGAGTGAGTGCCAGGCCTTGACTGAAGACCCTGCAGGCGCTACCTCCCATGACCACCCGGTTTTGTACAGGAGACCTCAAGGGCCCCACACCTCACTGCACAGGACCCCCTTCTCCCATCCCCAGACCCCGTTTTCTGGGAGGCAGGTCTCAGGCTGCTTTGACCCCTCACCTCTGTCTTCCCGGCCCTTCTTGAAGCAGATGAAGACGCAGTTCACCTTCATCTTCTCTTCAGCAAACTCAAGCAGTGCTAACAATCTGCAAAGGAAGAAAACTTAGGCTCACTACCCACTCTGTAGACTTCTCACCACCTACTCCCGAAAAAGGCTTTTCTGAGGCTTACAGCCCCACTATCAACAGAGAAACTTCAGGGAGGAGGTTCCTATTTCAAGACCACAGGAGCCTGAGTTCAGAAAAGGATAAGGCACAATCTTTCAGAAAAACGTTGCATGATCTTTTCCTGGAACAGGGACGACGACTCCTCTGAAACGAACACTGACCGGCTTAACCAGTGTGGTTCGTGAGACAGTGTGGGGCCGCAGAAGAGAACCCAGTTTTTCGGGGCCTCCAAAGTTGCCGAGTTTGACAATGACCGCCTGCCACTAAGAGGAATTCCTGGGCCCCAACACTGCCAAAAGGGGTCTCAAGAGGCTGGAGCCACTCAAGAGAACTCCGTCCTCAAGACTGTTTCTCCCACACATGACTGCTTGGAGGGCCTGGCCCAGCCCAGTGAAAACCCATGGGCTCGCCGAGCTTCCTGGCCTTATGGACCGCACCACTGTGTGCTGGCTCAAGGAGGGCTTAATGTCTGCTGGGAAGAGTGAAACATGGGGTGATTAATGACAGGGATTTGATGAATGTGATAATGACCTGCTTTAATGATAACCTAGAGCAGGCTTGTTTAACTGGCTAAAAATAACGTGTTTCAAATTCAAAATGCATCTGCTTGGGAGGCCTAGAGCTGGGAAGAATGCAGACTCCCTGCTCCTGTTCTCCCCAGTGAGCATATGCGCCTTTCTCCGGAAGGGGCCCTCTCCCCCCATGTGCTCCTTACCCTTCTTTGCTCCCATCAGCTAATAATCCATCTGGGATTTCTACAAACAGGCTCTGGCTGGACAGGACTGCATCCCAGGAAGAGACCGTCACCTCGGTGACCTCATACTGGAAGTGGACAATGTGAGGCTTTCCATCGTTCACAGGGAGGTCCTGGGTCACAGTGAGCTTCTCGTCCTGGGAGGAGATCAGTCAGCGGACCATGTCACTACTGCCTCTGGCCACACTGTAGGCACCCTAACCGGGGTGGGTGAGGAGTCCCCTACCATCAGTCTCAGGGTAGCATGGGGTAGAGGACACAGTGAAAACAGCATGCACACCATTCACTGTGCATGCTGGCCGAGTATCATTCGTCACTCATCAGGCACTAGGACTGGCTGACACTAAAAGCCAGTGTGATGGGAGGGGAAATATTTACCAAGTGTCCTCTAGATGCCAAATACTATGCATGGTGCTTTCCCGCTTCTCAGCCACCACAAGCACTTGAGGTAGGCGTTAATATCGCCATTTTAAATCTGAGATACCAGAGACCCACACAAATTAAGCAACTGACCCCAGGCTCCACAGCCAGCAATAGCACAGCTGAGACTCAAACCAGGTCTACCTAACTCAAAGCCCGTGCTTGTCCCCAACACCGTACTCTTTTCCTTCCCTCTGAAAGAGAAACGTTAGAAACAATAAAGGTATGTGTGGGGTTGGCGGGGGGCCCAGACCAACCAAAGCCTGCTTTCAGGTCCACTGCAGGGTCCATGTTGTGTCTCCTGGCCACCATTTCGGGAGACCAGAGCTCAGCTGCCCTGCTACCCTTCAATGCCAGTCTTAGGAAGAAGCTAAACCAACTTCTAGGCCTCAATCACAGGAGACTGAAAGCCAGCAAAGGGCTGGCTGCCCCAGCCCAGATCACCCCCAGGCAAGATTCTCAGAGTTCTCTAAAGCCCGCCCCTGGGCTGCGCTGTATGCAGCCAGGGTGATAGGAGCCGGAGATGCAAGACCCTCTCGCCTTCTTACTCCCCCCACCTCCCCAGTCAGGCTGGTAAGGGATGAAGTCAGGATGCCAAAGGGCGAGGACAATGGGAAAACGGCCCTTGGTATTTCTCAAGAGAAACTGAGGAAGAAGTAGCACCAGAAAGGGCTCTTGCACCGCTCCCACTCCAGACCCTAAACCGGCACTACACTGACCACCAAGCTGAGAAGATGCAGGGTGTTTGCTGGGCGCTGATACCCTTCCAGTACTCCCCAAAAGCCACACAGCAGCCACAGTTGAAAAAATCCTCCTTCCCAATCCCCCTACTGGCCTGGCCTGAGTTGGAAAACTAAGGGAATGATAACTGCCCTTAACCAGCAGCGCAGTGGAGTCGAAGAAGGCTCTGTCCTGGGGTCCTTCTTACCTTATATATTAGAGCTGAGAGAGAAGGATCCCTGCTGCCCCCTCGCCCACCGGGGATCTTCGACAGTGGGTGAGGGGCATCAGGAGCACCACAGAGGCCCTGGAACAATGTGCCTGCAGCACTGGAGCTGGGGACAGTTACTCAAAGGCAAAATACTACTGCAAGAGACAGAGAAGGTGACAGTGTAAACACCAAAACTTGAACATTTAATTCACCCCATCCCAACCCCCAGCTGGCTCTCCTTAAATAAGTGCTCACAGGCTCCACCACTGGGCCAGTCTTTTCGGCTGCAGCTTCTGGAACCGCCTCTGCTCTTGAATGACAGAAGCCCACCGCCCCACAGAAGCACAGGCAGTCCCAGAAGGGCTAAGAGGGTCCAGCCAAGTATCTGAGCAGAGGAGGACCTGTCAAACACCACACAAATCTCTTCGTTGCTGGCAGCCCTTGGGTGGCACCAGACCTGGCTTGCCCGCTAGGCCCAGAGCCCTGTACCCTCTGACAGCCCATTTCCTTACCCCAGCAGTGTCTCAACATCCTACGGGCAAAACCACGAAGCCTACACAATCACTTCAGGCTGGAGAGACATACAGGCCTCAGGAAGTCACATGGGCTGGGTAACCTGTCCCTGAGGAGTTCCCAAGGCTACTTTTCCAAATCTGGCCTCCTCCCTGATCTAAATAGGAGTAACTTGACAGAAATCGCTTACCCAAATCCATCTAGGGTTAAGAACTGAATTAAATCCAGGGACTTGGGTCCCGGAGAGGAGGTGCACTGTAGTACAGGGCACTACAGTATCTCGTTTGTCCTGGTGTGCCACCAAATGCTGAGCTTCCTTGCCCTTTGCTCGAATTTGACCTGAGCACGGGAGTTCAGGCAATGTGGACATGGTCAGAATGGGCCCTCAAGGATTGGGGGGGTGGGGACTGCCAGGAGCAGACAAACATGCTGAGAGCCAGTAATCATCTCCACATACGGGCCCCGACCAGCCACCATGATTTTCAGGTGGATCCAACAGGGCTCCAGGTCTGCCCCACTCACTGCCCACTTCGAATCTGATGTAATAGCTCCTTAGGCTGACTCCACAGGCCAGGGGCAGGTGAAGCAATGAAAGAGGAACCCGTCCGTGCGCACACACCACAACTCGGTCGGCTCGCCCGGCGGTGAACGTCTCTTCCCCGCTGGGTGCTTAAGGGGACCATGCTGGCAGCCTGCATCAGCTCCAGGAGAAGTATTTTCACCCCAGACATCAGCAAATGCTATAAATCAAGGCTTTCCCCCCCCCTGGAAATCAGTTGTAAAACAACATGAGGCTCTATTCTTCACCCTGTCCTTTGCTTTATATGGCGCTGCATGTCAGATTGGGTTTTTTCACAGAGGCTCAGAGCAATAGGACTGAACTCACACCTAACCCAGCAATGGTAGCACAGGGGCCGCCCACTGAGGCTCTCAGTACAAACAGACCTGTACAAGCATTCCAGCCAAGATAGGAAGTCCAAACCCATCACTACTCTAGCTTGACTCCTCTGTCTTCAAGGATTTAAACGGGGCCTAAAATTACACTTGGAAACCTCACCGGGAGATGGCATTCCCAGGGCAGTCAGTGGGCCTTTCGCAGCATCAGCACCTGAGGGTGGTAACCACAAGCGCCACCTTCTGCCTCCTCTGGAGAGCCTCTGGGCGCCTTCATCTCCCCTACTCCTGGCCTCACCAAGAGATACTAGAAGGGACATGACTGAAGACTACACTACTGTTTTTGAGGATGGGATTTACTTTCTATGAGGGATGCTGAGCTGTTATAATCCCCCCTTCCAGTGTGTTAAGGGATAGAACAGAGTAGAGTGTCCAGGTTAGAAAAAACAGGATGGCTGTGCATTTCCCCAAACGAAGGCACACACACCCCACAGGCTGCAGTTCCCTTCCCATTCCCTAGTGGCCACCCCAGGCCTCTGGAGAAAGCGGGCTTGCTTGTATTGCTCAGTGAAGTTACCAAGGTCTGGGCAAACCTCCTCTGGGTCGACAGATGAGTTATAGCCCCCTATTATACCAGAACTACATGGGTTCACCAAACAACCAGATCACCAAGGAAGGTCCTTGCAATTCTGGGATTCTGGTACTAGCTCACTTAACTTCAGGCTCCTACTTCCAGAGAATCACCCCTCCGTGGTCTTTAGATGGGAGAGCCGCAGTCAACTCCTCACCTGCATTCCAACCACCATCTTTACGCCAAACTAATTTTCACGTGCAAATGGCAGAAACACTGGCACCAAGCCACTGAGGAAGTCCAAGGTGGGTTTTCCTTTCTTCAGATCCAGAACCCCCTTTGTCCTCCTAGAAAAAGCCCTTAGGGTCTGCCCTGTGTCCAGCACGAATGTATGAGCCTGTGATGTGTCTGGGGTCCTGATCTCACTCCTCTTCAGATAAATGCAAGAAGTCTATTCCACAGTAACAAATTGTTTTCTTCCGCCATCACACACAAAGATCCTGGGAGCTCTCCTCCTCCCCCACAGTCTACACAGCAAGTGTGCATGTGAGTAGGGGTGGAAAGGGTTTCAGGCCCCCATGCAGGTAATCCAGTTCCAGTTCCTGAAACAGCTGGGGTTTGGAATACGCTTAATAGACAGCAGATCACAATAATTATCTTCATTGTTCACTATACTGGATCTGTTTTAGTTACTTGCTGTAAATGGCAAATTGCTTCTCACAAAAAACCTAACCATCAATTCTATAGTGAGAAGGGAGGGAGATGGGTACAGATGTGGTAATTAAAGTATGGGGCATGAGAGCAGTGGCCTTCTCTTGTTGGATTAACTTCAGTGTTCAAATGGTGTTGTGGCAAAATACGCCACCAACCTCAGCAGGAAAAGAGGATCCTAGAGGCATTTAAGCACAAGAGAAATGGCTTCTAAACACAAGTCTTCCTGTCAAGATCCAAACCCGGTCAGACTATGTATTCAGTTTAGTTGTGTTCCTACTGGTTCCAATGCTTATTTTCCAGCCTCTCCTCACATCCTGCTCACCCCACTGTAGGGCAGGACTGGTTTCATCTCTACCGCCAAAAGGTTGCTTTAAACTCAATCTAGAGGCTGAAGAGAGACTGATTAAAGAGAATCAAATGTATCAGAATAAACCCAAACACACAGCACAGCTGGTCCTGCTCTTGGAAAAGAAAAAAATACACCATGCTGGAAATGAGGGTGTCAGGTACCCAAGTCAATTCGGAAGCGAGATGGGAGATTAGAGCCAATCTGTTAGTGCCTTTTATTTGCTCGGTTGTTACTGGACATGCTCTTGGAAACACTCCTCAGGATACGTGAGTGCTCCCCTCATATCCTGCTGCCTCCGACATAAAGCATTCTGTGACTATTGTCTGAAATGTCCTTAGGAGGCTGTAATTTCATCCACTGGCTACAGACGGGCAGTGCATGAAGCAGATGTATTTCAGGGGAACGCTGCTGGTAAATCAAAGTTTTATAATTCAGATCCTGTTTTTAAATCTGTAGAGTGCTTACCATTTAAAGAAAGTAACCTCGAATTTCTCAACAAAGGATCTCCTGCCAAAAATCACTTCCAGTTGATGTCAGTTCTGATTTTTACATTAACTTTGCTCAAAGCGAGTAGCCTATTACATAGAGACTTAATATAAAAGTTAATTCTAGCCTGGCTGGTGTAGCTCAGTGGATTGAGCGCGGGCTGCGAACCAAAGTGTCGCAGGTTCAATTCCCAGTCCGGGCACATGCCTGGGTTGCAGGCCACGGCCCCCAGCCACCGCACATTGATGTTTCTCTCTCTCTCTCTTTCTCCCTCCCTTCCCTCTCTAAAAAAGATAAATAAATAAAAAATCTTAAAAAAAAGTTAATTCTGTGGCTAACTTCCATTCAGCTAAATCTAACAAATACTTCATTTCATATTCTCTTTCATATACTTTTGATCATGTTTTACTTGAATCAGTGACCTGAGCTGAAGTTTGTACCCTTTCTCTCCAGTTTCTATTACATGACAGAGGAAGGTCAGGCAGCCTTGGTATCACCCACTTTGTGGTATCAAGTTAAAAGACATAAAAACCATATCCCCAAACATCCTGCATTCACTCCTCCCTTTCATCTTCTCCTGACCCATTTCTGTCTCTGGCCCTGCTTCTTAGAACACTACAGTGCCCAGCTTCCACACACAAGCTGCTCTTACTCTGAAGACTAGGAAGGTCTCTGATGACCACCCCCTGCGCAGAGGGACCAATCTAGGGCTGCCAATCACACTTGGCCAAACAGAAACATGAAGAAAGGTGGGAGGTGATGGCCACCTCCAGTCTAGAGTGTGGGCAGAGGCTGACTTCCAGCTGCCAGTTCCCTTTCCATTTGAGAAAGGGCGCTGGTCAGACGCCAGGCATAAGTTATTCACTGGGGCTCTTCTGTGTGCCAAAGGGAGTCTACTTGCTAAGCCTGATTATAAAGAAAATGACATCACCACTCTGAATCACAGACTGAAATCAAAACGGGCTTTTGGTTGATTCTCCACAAGAAACACACAGCGGCAGCTAGAATATCTGTGCCTCTGAGGTCTGCTCATCTTAATTACACAGATGACACTGCCACACCTTCCGCCAAAGGTGGGCACAGCCACAGGTGCCGTCAGAGGCTGGGGGAGAGCTAGGTAATCATGCTTTAAATCAGACCTTCAGTTTACATTTTAAGTACCTCCATCTAGTTTTTATCATAAAGTCATCACCCAATTCTGGCCTCTTCCCAGGATGGAATCGCTTCATTGTTTATATAGTATCAAAGGCCTAGAAAATTTTCTTAAGGCTTATCTTACACAAAGCATTTTATTCTGCTGCTGCTAACAGTGAGCTACCTGTTTGGATCATTTTGAGTAACAAAATTCTTGCTCACCTACTTGGCCCTTTCTCATCTATAGCTTTCAATTAGGCTTCACAGCCATCCAAATCATGGCACCAACCTGAATCAGTAATGCATTCTATTTCAAAACGGGATGGATCGCTGTTTTTCCCTATGAAAGCACATATGTGACATCATCCCTCTACCCTAATCCTCAGTCCCGTTATTCATATTTCTGAGCAGCTCTGAGGCTAAGTTTGGATTTCTTGGCAGAGTGAAGAAGTATTAGTTCGCAGTGCTTTCTGAAGTATATCTCCAGTTTGGGGGAATTCCTGACTATCCTAGGAGTCTCTCTCTTTCTCTTCCTCTCTGGGGTGACCTTGAAGGCACCCAACAGGGAAACTTCCTCTCCCTACCACCCCACATCCAAGCCACAGTGCCAACAAATAAGGAATAAGTAAAACCAAATTCTTTGGGGGGAAGAGACATAAGTCCCATTCCCAGGGAACCACCCAGCGAAGGGGCTCAAGGTAGTTCTGGTGCACTCTCGTACCCTGTCCACACCCAGAAACAGCACCTGTAGCAGCAACGCTTCTCCTAGAAGCCCGTCAGACGCAGGCTCATTATAAACAGACCCTGAGCCAGGGCAATCTCTTCTCCGATCTCTTCTCCACATACTGTATTGTCACAGGTACTGAGCCAGACCTAGTCAGAGACTATCTTCCTGCCCCTATAAATCCAGGAAGAGAAAGGCCATGACGCTTGATTTCCTTGGATTTGAACCTCACATTCAAAAGCTATAATAAAAACAGTGCTGGTACTTGTATCTTCTTCCTTCCCCCGCCACCAGGCATTTTGACATTCTGGAGGTACTAAAGAGAACAAAACTGGAAAGGAAGAGCCTGTTTTCAAAACATACTGTGGCTCCTCCGCAACTATTTCTTCCAGGAAACCAAGCCCCTACCTCTTGAATATTTCACTAGAGCCAGGGACGCTGGAAAGCCCATCCCCCACCCAATGGGAGTTAAACTCTCAGCCAGCTGCCCCCTCTGGGAATACAAAACACCAAGAACATCCGGCTCTTATCAGAATCCCTAGTTAAGGCCCTACCAGGATTCTGTTTAGAAAGGTTAAGAGGCAGCCCAGAGGAGGCTGGGAAACATACTGTGGAAACAGGATTGCCATAACTCAAAGAAACCAGACACCCTGTACACACCGCCCCACCCCCAGGCCAAAGTGGAGCAGCCTGATCCAAGGCCTTGCTCCTGCCCGGCCCTGGCAGGCAGGCTGGCTCCGCCCTCCACCTGCCTGTCACACAGCCAAGCCCCTCAAATTACCAACACACTAATCAAGGGCCCCGGAGAAAAGTAAGCCTGTTTTGCCACTTAGGAAGCTGGAAGAAATCTCAAGTGAACCCAACCCCCTCTTTTTACATGTAAGCACACTGGCTAAGCCAGAACTAAAACTCAGGTCTCAACCTCACAGTCAGTGAAGACCCTTAATTGCTGTTCCCGAGGACCCCAAAGAATGCCTGCTGAGTCCACACCACCTTCCAAACCCACTGTGGAGACAAACATAAAGACCAGAAAAGGTGGTTTTCCTGTAGGATCCTCTGCTTCCCTCCACCCCTGCACCTCATTCTGCTGTCTGTCCTCAGAACACACACAGCCTTCTCTCCACCACAAGTAATACCTTTTGCATCCAGCACCATCCAGGTATACATCTACCTCCACCTTTTCTGCTCCAGAAGGGCTGGGTTAGAGAAGATGGAATAAAAGACAGGACTGCAGAGGGCAATGGACATGGAAAGTCTCAGATAATAAAAATATAACAGCAGAATGGGACTGCAGGTAGAGGTCCTGGGAGGTGGGGTAATGGGGGAAATTGGACCATAAAAACCAGGAAATGAGGAGTGCATTTTCTTTCTGCATATAGGGAAGAAACAGAAGTGTGGGGGCTAGACAACAGTCTGAAAATGACAATGGCCATTGGCTGAGAACTGAGTAACTAAAGGTAGGAGAATTTAAAAGGCTGCTGCAGGTACCCTAGGTATTTCTGGTTAGTACCTGGGACAGAAAAACTAAGGAAATCCCTGAAGACAAGGCCCTTTTCAGTAAAGGGCTGACACCCACAAAAGGAAAATGATGGGAAGGGTCTTCTGTGGGGAGGGGTGGAAAGGCAGCGTTTCTTGAACCTGGCTGCACACCAGAATTCCCAGGGAGCCTTACAGACATGTACTAATAACCAGGCCGCACCCTATGCCAATTACAGCAGGTAGTTGAGGCAGGACCCAGTTGACTGATTTCTCAAACGTGCAGCCAGAGTTAAGAAGCACTGAGGAATAAGAAAAGCCAAAGACCCAGCTGGACTGTTTAAGGATGGTGCTTGCTGTGAAGGAGTGGGAAATGGCAAGTTAGAGGCCATTTTAGTGATACAGGAGCCCAAATTTGAGAGAGAACCTTGAGTGGTAATCAGAGCCCTATGTAAAAAAAAAAGAAAGAAAGAAAGAAAGAAAGGCCATGTTTATAAGAGAAACTAAAGTCTAATTTTGATCAAGGCACAATTTAAGGAAGATTTGCAAGAAATGGATCTGCTTGCAAAATTATAAGGCCCAAGTGAGGGACAGAGGCCATAAGCCCAAATATGGGGACAAAGGGGCCAGTGTGGGGAACTAATGAGCTTCAGACACATTTTGGAGGGGGCAGCACAAGTCTAGGGAAAATAGGAGGAAGATAATTAGACCCGAATTGTAAATGGAAGCCATTCTGATGTAGAAGCAATTGGTGTTCAAATTTGTGGGGAATCGGGAAACTATGGAACAGTTTCAAAGAGTCTGGAGCAGAAACATGGAGTGTTTGAGGGGGAGGGGAAGGACAAGGGCTGCCTTGGAGAAAAAGAGGAGAGGTAAAGAGGAAAACTAAATGATGAGTATATTTGATCTAAGTTTAGGAAACCACTGGTGCTGTGTGAGAAAGACGTGCAGCCTTTCTCTCCAATTAACAGGGGCCGAGTTTTGAGGGAGGAAACTTTGCAAAGGCCCAGGGTCCAGAGTATGGAGGCACTGGAGGTAGGGAAAGAGGGTAAGCCTTCCATGGAAACCAGGGTGGGCTGAGTTCTGTGATCTACTGATTTATAGAAGGGGTTCAGTTAAGATGGGAGGAGTGAAAGTAAAGATGAGTTCCAGTTGAGAGTGTTTAAAGTGCAGGAGTATTTAGAAGAGTGTTTGGGGGAACCCCATTTAAGGCAACAGGATGGAAGATAGGGGTCAAGTCCAAAGTGTTGGAGAAATCAATGAAATGAGGTTGGGAGACAGGAAAAATGGGGCCTAACTGGGAAAGGGGTATTAAGGGAGGGAGGAAGGGAAGAAATGAAACTGAAGTGAAGGACTAAGGAGAGGGCCGGGCATCCTAGCAAAGACTATGAGGCCTGGAAGGGGGATGGGTGACGATGGGTCCAACCGAGAACTTAAGGATGGAGCCTGACTGGGCCGGGGGGCGGTAAGGGGGAAGCAACAGTGATGAGAGAGAGATCTGGTTGGAGGGTGCAGTCTGAATAAGGGAAGGGATTCAAAGGGTAGGATTAAGTGACTTAAAGAGGGGGGAGGAAAGATTTGAGGAAGATAGGAAACAATTTGGAGAATCTCTAAGAAGGAAAAACCCACTTTGGGGAATAGGGCACCGTTCGGCGGAGCTGAAGGAAAATGGGGACTTGACTGGAGGATTGGACCCCGGTTTGTGGGGGCCTTACTGGAGGAGGCCCGGAGGAGGGGGATGGGCAAGGCTGGCGGGAGTGGGGCTGAAGGACGGAAGGAGGCCCCGTGGGGGACTGGGGCTCGGACTGGGGTGGTTGAAGTGGGGAAGGGTCTGAAAGCGGAGCGACAGGCGCCCCGCTGGGGGGGCGGGAGCCGGCTGGTTGGTGGGGGAGGAGGCCGTCAGGAGACAGTGAGAGGAGGATGGGGGCGGGGAGCCTGGGCCGGGCCGTTACCTGTCCTGGGTGTTTATCATCCTCGGCGGCTCTGCTCAGGGTGGGAGGAGGCGGCGCAGGGAGTGGGTAGGTGGATGAGTGGGTGGGTGTGGGGTCGCGCGCGCGCGGGGCCGATCTCGCGGGTTAAGTCCCTGTCAGGCCGCGGGCCCAGAGCCCTCCTCCTGCCTCAGCGAGCGCCTGCCTCCAACTGACCCTCCCCGGCCGCCGCCGACGCCGCCGCAACCGCCCCGCCCCCAAGTTCCTCATCTGCATAGCCCCACCTCAGCGCCGCGCGGTGTCCTGGGAAACTGGGGCTCACAACAAAGGGCAATGCACCGCCCCGCCTCCGCGCAGGCGCACCAGGGGCCGGGAGCGGGAGGTGGGGGAGGTGGGGGGAGGGGCCGGGTGAGAAGTTTGGCGTTGGGGGGGAACGACTGTAGCTGTGCTGCCCAGGAGTTGCGTTGCATTTCAAGTAGAGTTTTTTGAGGTTTGACCTGACGTAGACTCCTTGATTGCGTGGATCAAGCAGGGCTGTGTCATTTGTAGGTTCTGGGAGAATATAAAGCAAAACAAAATCTGCATTCTTAAGAATACTAGGTACATATTAGCATCATTACCAGACTGAGCCCAGGCCCACAGATCTCAGGTACCTCAACTCATAGTGCAGATTCAATAGCCTCAGCTGTCAACTGAGACCAACAATCTGCGCCTTGAATCCATATCTCAGGTCAATGGTCAAGGCCTGGCACTGGGTGGTGGCCATCTGAAGCCAGTGGTATCTGTGGATCGGGATCACAGCCACCTGACAGCAGTGGTGGAGGGTACAAAAATTCATAGTCACTTTAGATCACAGCCACACCAGGTTGCTTGTTCACAGTTTCTTCCATGCACTATCCCTGTGGTCCTTATGACAGACCAGTGAGGAGAGGTCACAATCCCTGATGCAGGGACCTCTCAGATCTCCACGTTGCAGGCCAGTCACAGGCACTTCAACACAATCAACACAACTTTCAACTCTGTTCATAGTCAATCCAGACTAAAAACAAAAGATATCACACTATCTTAGATCACAATGGAGCATTGTCACCTCAAATCCCATTTATTTATTCAACAAGTAATTATTGAGCAGCTACTTACTATGTGCTCCAGGTATGTGCTAGATAGAGTCCACGAATACTCAAAGATCAACCAGGCAAAGTTCCTGCCTCAGATGTCAGAATCTGGCCAGAGTGAGAGACAGAGAAAGGCCATCACAATGTGAGGTAAGCGCTTCATCTGAGGGAGACCACAGAGAAAGTAACTAGAGAATTAGGGATCATTTGTACAGATGGTGATCACAATCACTCAAGATTAGAGGTCACTGTGACCCCCAGTTCATAATAGCCCCAAATCACAAATGTCCCACATTAGAACCATCTCAAGACAAGCATTACTCTGCTTGATAAACAACATGCTTTTGGTTTTTAGATAATGGGGATGCAGAGATGGAAGAAAGTTGGGAGATGCCAAAGTAAGGCTTTTCCAGCAAAAATGGGTAGTGGTAAATGATACCAGAATTACCTGAGTTATCACTAGATATTTAAGCAAGACTCATCCCATACTCTGGCTCACTTTAGCTTCTCTACCTTGTTTCCTTGGCTATCCCTACCTGCTCCTCCAAGTTCAATGTAGGAATGTTCTTACATTAGTACATACCAGAATTGAACAATTAAACCCAGACCTGATCCACCTGGACCCTTTTCCTGGCCCTCAAAGGCAGCTAGAATGGCTCATTTCTGCCATCCCACCCTTGGACAAATAATCTTTTAGCCTGAAGAAGAGTTTTTAACCGATCTATTAGCAAATGTTGAGAACTAAACTATTTCTTTTTTTTTTAAGACTTTTTATTTATTCACTTAGAGAGAGTGGAAGGGAGGGAGAAAGGGTGAGAAACATCAATGTGTGGTTGCCTCTCACATGGCCCCCCACTGAGGAGCCGGCCTGCAACCCAGCCATGTGCCCTGACTGGGAATTGAACCAGTGACCCTTTGGTTTGCAGCCCAAGCCCGATCCACTGAGCTACACCAGCCAGGGCAAGAACTAAACTATTTCAGTTAACAGCAACCACTTACTGAGCACCATGCCAATGCACTAACTTTACAGCTCCCCACTCTCGTTTTACAGATGAAAAGAATGAAAACTCAGGGAGATTGTGCTAACAAGTTCGTTTATTTGTTCTGATTCAAAAGCTAGTGAGGGGCAGAGTTAGAATTTGAACCCAGAGCTGCCTGACCCTGTGCTTCATCTGGACTTAGTGGTGAAGGAGTGAGAAGGTCTCTGCCACAGCCTGCTGCCCGAAGGAGGGACCACCCTGACAGCTGCCTGGCAGACAAGTGGAAAAAAATGGGGAGCCACCTTCCTCCAACCTGTGCTGCCCAATATGATAGCCACGAGCCACATGTGGCTATTTAAATCTAAATTACTTAAAATAAAGTTAAAAATTTAGTTCCTTGCTCCCATCAGCCACACGTCATGTGCTTAATAGCCACATGTGACCACTGGTTAGAGTATTGTACAGTGAGATTTCCCATCAACACAGAAAGTTCTGGTGAATGCTGTTTTACTCTCATTCTCACATACCTCAGTGTCAGGAAGCGGGTAAGCGTGTTTCTCTCCCACCCCCAATGCCATTTCTAAACCCCTCCCTCCTACAGCGCTGCCCCTCTTTCTGATGAAACCCCCGTTATGACTCTTGGCCCCCTGCCTGTCTCTCAATGCTAAATTTTGTTTTATGTGGTGAGCTCAGCATCCATGTGATCACTTCCTTGACCTCCTCAGCACCAGTGCTGTTTTCCACACCACAGCAGCTGCCAGCTCCTATACCTGCAGTTATATACCCTTACCTAGGTTTTCACCGGAAACTGTGTCGCTTCCGATATATAGACTCTTCTTTGTTTCACAATCCTTTTGTTAACTAATCCTCCCTTGATCATTCGTTGACCCTTCTCATGACCCCTTCTCCTCACTAATTTCTCACTATTCGTTGGCCCTAGTTTTATGTTCCTTTCAGCTTCATTTCCATCACCCATCACTAGAACCACTCTCTTGCTCCATCTCCTCCTGTGGTGCTCGCCTGACAAAACCCCTAATCCAAACAAACCCACTATCTGCCTGCTCAATGTTTTTGCTAGAGCAAAATCATACCACCAGGCAGATTATCTTCACTCCTTGTTCACGATTCCACCCTCAAATGTGTTCTCAGGAGTGCCTGGGAGTTCCTACCACATTTTCCCAATAAGTTTGCTTTTCCACTCTCCAAATGACTTGCACACCTACCTTCTCGCTGCAAGACCTCTACCCCTGTCATCTTAGCTGGTGGCCTAGCCTCTTTCTTTTTTCAAAGTGATGTGACCTGCATTTTTCTTTTCTTTTTTATTAAAGATTTTATTTACTTATTTTTAGACAGAGGGGAAGGGAGGGGAAAAGAGAGGGAGAGAAAAACATCAATCGGTTGGGACTTGCCCCAACTGAGGATCGAACCCACAACCCAGGCCTGTGCCCTGACTAGGGATCAAACCTGAGACTTCGCTTTGCTGGACAACCCCCACTGAGCCACACTGGTCAGGGTGCCTCTTACTCCCCCCGCCCACCCCGTTTTATTGAGATATAATTGACACGTGATATTGCATTAGTTTTAGATGGACAACAGGACAATTGGATGAATATGTATCCCTAGCCTCTTATGTTACTGAAGAAATAGAGGCAAAGGGGAACTTTCTCTTAGTCCTCACAACCTGCAACCCTATCTGCCTCTCCACCCATCGGTATCTCTTCCTTCCGGGTACTCTGAGAAGTGGTCTCCTCCCTTGCAAAAGACCAGCTAATCCCTCCGCAGAAGCTAATGGACCATCCCCTTTCCTCTGTTCAAGAACCTGGCTCCTACAATGTAATCTTCCCCTTCAGCACACAAACATGCTTTCCCATCCTCAAAAAAATAACATAACCATTCTGAAAACACAGTTTGGCAGTTTCTGAGAAAACTAACCATGAGACCACTAGGTGACCAAGGAATTGCACTCCTGGGCATTTATCCCAAAGAAATGAAAACTATGTTCACATTTTTAAAAAAACCTTATGCATGTATGTTCACAGCACCTGTATTCACAACAGCCAAACATCAGAGTCGGCCCAGACGGCCTTCAGTGCGTGAATGGTCAAACACACCGTGCTACAACCACACCTTGGAACACAACTCAGCAATTTTCAATTTAAAAATGATGTACATAATGTAATATGTTTGCACTCAGGTAAAAATCACATATAAACGCAATCGCTGCACTTAGCGATGACAACAACAACAACAAATACGAGTTAGGTACAGGGCAGGAGAGTACTCAGTCCCTGGGAGCTGCTCTTGCAAGCATGAGAGTGACAAACTCCAGGGAACAAACACAGGTAAGTGGGAAGAGAATGTATGACAAGAGGTAAGACAGAGGCTGGAAGGTAATCAGTGGACCCTATTTAGGGACTCAGCATCTGCAGGATTTCATTCAAAAAGCTGTATGGTTCCATGTGTTTCAGACAAACCTGAGCTTGTCCACTGGCGGGTGATAGGACTTTGGACTAGTCATGTGGCTGCGGAGGGCTTGTCTGTTGCTCAGTAAAAAGCAGGGGCCTTGGCACCCGCCCTCCAGGACTGTCCCGGGCATTAAGTAAAATAGCCTATGTGAAAGCACCTGGCCCAGCGCCTAGAAAATGTTCCAAAAATGTAAATTCACTCCCACTTATCTCTTTATAAAAATCTGCTCTCCAGACAAGAACTGATTTTTTAAAGAGCTAATTAATAATGATAAAATTCATGAGTGCTTACTTATGCTCAAAGGAATGAAAGAGAAAGGAGAGAGAGAGAAATAAAAACATCATTTACCACCTTTAGAGAATTGCAAGGAACCAACTGATTTTTCTGAAAACTGGCAAATAAAGGGAGAGAAGTCAAAGCATTTAACTTGCCTTTCTCATGTGAACTGTACTTCAGGCTAACAAAACTGTTGATGTGAGATAATTATTCCAAAAACTGGTAAGAGGAATAAGCATTCAGCCTGATTTTTTAAAGATTTTATTTATTTATTTTTAGAGAGGGGAAGGGAGGGAGAAAGAGAGGGAGAGAAACATCAATGTGTGGTTGCCTCTCGTACACCCCCCACTGGGGGCCTGGCCCACAACCCAGGCATGTGCCCTGACTGGGAATCGAACCAGCA